TATACATTATATATTATTTTTAAATTAAATATAAAACTCCAATATACTTTGCATTTTAAAATAAATAAAATAGCAATTCGATAAAGAATGCTTGACTAACATTGTTGATTACCGCTTCCCTCTTGCAATATAATTATTTAAATATATCTGAATGTTTATAAATTCATCTTATAAAATTCATCATCAAGTTCTTGCACCTTTTTTGAGATTTATAAAATATGTACTCACAGTTGACATTTTTTAGTGAATGCTGTAATATAAATTGTTACTACAAAAATTTCATCTAACAGAATTGATAACATTACAAGAAACATTTAGTAATCTTTTGACAATATCCAAAATTGCACATAAATATAATTAATACTTCATTTTTCAGTAATTATTAACTTTGAAGGATTACGCCCATAACCTTGATCTTAACATATATTGATAATATAAAATATTGATTGTTAAAGTAAAAGGATAGTTTCCAAAATATTTTACAAATGTGATTAATTGGTCACAAGTGTTATTTTATAAACATATCGTTTCATTTGAACATATTTCGCAAGAATTTTGGGCGTGCTTTTCCCCGTTTCTGACGTCATCGAACAAGATGCAACGAGGGACCAGAAGTCTTGACTCATATGTTTTTCTTACTTCTTTCATTTATAACTTTTTAATAAATAACCAACTAAAAACTTTTGAAGGTTACTCAAAGTCATGTCTTTAACATATGTCAAGGTCACTAACGTGGTTCCTCCTCAAGTAACTAATTACTATTATATTACTATTATATTTTTTTCTTCACAATATGCATGTGTAATAATGTTACAATGCGAGTTAAAAATATAACCGACGATACAATTGTCATCGTTATCCTAATCTGAGTTGCTGAGACACGATTAATTTCAATATTTGACTATTTCTATATCAATGTTATAATATCTATTTCAATATTATAATTTTAACGATGGTCGTCACACACACACACACACACACACACACACACACACACACACACACACGCGCGCGCGCGCGCGCACACGGGGTTTGTCAAAATGTGGAAACAGTACAATATTTTTAAAACGAAGCAATTGACAAAAAATGGTTCAGATAAAAATTGTAGGGTTTAAAGAGGGATGATGACTTTACCTTTGTTGTTTAATCAATAATTCAAGGTCGTTTTAAGGTCAACTTTATGTTTTTAAATACAATGATATAATTTTTTAAATCAATTTCTCTGTTCATTCTGTGCATAAAAGTATTAAGAATCATCGAAAAGTTAACATTTTTTCGAGATATTTTATTTTTTATTTTTCAGTACAGAAAAAGATGAAATATTTTATAAAGTATTCACTTTGCGATAACATCACTTCAACGCTTTTATACGTAAAATGGCAGACGGAATCGATTACTCATATTTAATGATGTCAGAAGCGAGAAATCGCATAACAAAATATATTACGATATACGTGGAAATAGAAGAATATATGCAATGTTAAATAGCACTCGTGATAGATTCAGCATACTTATAAAGATATTCGTACGTCATCTTTCCTAACCTGAATAATCAATAAATAGCTGTAAAATTAATATAACAGAAATCATGAAAAAAATAGGTTAAAAACATAAGATGCATGTAACATTAATTTTCGGCTATTTATTGATTGTTCAGGTTAAAAAAAGCGTCCGGACACTTTTATAAATATGCTGAATCTATCACAAGTGCCATTTTATGTACACATTCTTTTATTCCCACGTATATCGTAATATATTTTGACATGTAATTTCTCGCTTCTATAGTCATCAAAGGACAGCCAAAGTGAGGACACAGGAGCTTTAAAATCGGCGAAAAAATGTATGAATATTGCTAAAATAGTGATATTCAGCACGTAATTGTAACTAATACACAAGCACAGGAAGCGACTAGCGAGGCTCGTTTTCTACATAGACAGGAATACGGAATTCCAGGGCAAATTAATGGCTAGGAAGAAGTTGCCGTATGGCCCAGGAATTAATAACCAAATAACGTAAGCCCAACAATTTCGTTTCATCTCAAAGATATTTGATACTGAAACTTTGCGTTTTGTCGAAACAGTATTTTTTCTAACTGGTTGACAAATCATCTCGAAAAATATTGATCAGATCAAAGTCAGACAAGTTGCAAAACACTTGTCAAACGAACGGCTATCATTGTACGTAGGATGCTTTTCCTTAACTGGAAATTGAATTTTTAAGTGTAAAAATGGATTTTAAATGTAAAAAAAAACCGACAAAAATTGAGGTGAAAAAGATTTTTTTTCAAAATTATTTTTGTAATTTTTCAAAAATCAAAAATCTCCTTACAGACATAGTCATGTACAAAGGTGGTTTGATATTAAGGACACCAGTTTTAGTTTCATAAGGTATTTTATTTTTCAGTATAATTTTCTCACAACTCAATGCATTTTCCCCAATGTTTTTTCAGATTTCCGATTCCCTCCTGAAAATAGGTTTCTTCGAGGTCCTTTAAAATAATTGTTTACAACTTCTATCGTCTCTTTGTTCTCAAATCTCTTTATAGCCAGGAAAATTTTGAATTTCGGGAATAGATGGAAATCCGAGAAAGTTAAATCAGGCGAATTCGGTGAATGCGGGATAATGTCAAACTTCAATTCGGCCAACTTTTTCTGAACGGAACGTTTGATTGCGCCGGTATATTGTCATAGTGAAACAATACCTTTTTCTTGACGATTCCGGAACATTTCTCCACGAATGTTGCCTTTAACTTCTCCAAAAGTGGTCTAGTATTGGCCAGTAACGGTTTTTTCCTCCTCAAGATAGTCGATCAGGAGAATTCGTTTCGCATCACAAAAACTGATGCCATTATCTTTTCAATCGATAGTGTTCGCCTTTTTCAGAATTTTTTCACCTCATCCTTCAGTCCACTGTTTGGACTGTTGATTCAAGTATAATGATGAATCCAAGTTTCATCCATGGTCACAAAACGTCGCATGAAATCCATTGGATTCTTCTGAAAACACCTCCAAACAGTCGGATGTTCACGTACGAACTCGTTTTTGTTTTGCAGTCATCAATCGTGACATCCATCTTGCAGAAAGTTTTTTTTTTTTCATATTCAATTCATTGTGCAAAATGAAATGAATACGCTCAGTTGAAATGCCGATCTGGCTTCTAATATCTCGCGTATTTTCACTTGCCTGATGGATAAAACCATATCATGGACTTTATCGGTAGTTTCATGACAGCTGTATTCGGAGGACTTCCAAAATGTGGTGCACCTTCGATGCTTGTTCTGTCACGCTTGAATTCGTTTATCCAAAATCGAACGGTTTCATAGAAATTACATGAGTCACTCAATGTAGGGAAAATCCTTTCATAGATTTTCTTTCCTTAAGAAAAAAAAAAAAACCTTCGATTCTAATTTTATCTATTTTGCACTATCGCTCGAAACAATTGTTTATATTGAAACAACTGTCAAATAAAGAATTAATGGCGGAATGACTCGAAACTTCGCGTGGATTATTACAAGAAAGGGAACAATATGACCACATATATAGTTGTTGTTCATGCCTTCTATAAGACAAATTTTAAATGGCTCCGCTCCGGAGCCCTCAAGTGCAAAGGGTTAATATTTACGTCTCTAATCTAACTAGGTATAAAATCATTGTTTTACTTTTTTTTTTATCCGAACCAAGTCTACAAACCAACCTATAAACAAATACTGAGAACTGCGAATAGATTGGTGGCAGAAATCGAACAGAGCCTGTAGCTCTGACGGCAGATTGGTGGCAGAAACCTAGCAGATCTTGCTGCGTGCAATTTGGCGTGTAGTTTGGCAGATTTTGCGCAATTTTTACTGTCAATCTGTTCGGATTACCTGTCAGCAGGTTCTGTCGCCAAAACATAAGCTAAATACAGACACAGATGGATATGGTTTTGGTGTGAGATTCTGGTGTCAAATTTGTTGCCAATCAGCGCGGCCTGCGATCAATTCGCTTGCTGCGTATAGCCGGAAATCTGCCAATCGTCTAAATTCATTCTTTTTTTTACTTTTTTACATCAGCTCTGGAGGTCGCAAATATTAATATATTGGGCTGATTTTTTTTATATTTACATGAAAATATGTACTTTGTGTACATGAAAACCGAATTTTAATTATATGTATAGTTTTCTCTAAAAAAATTCACAAGAAATCCAGTTTTTCGGCTTTTACATTGTTCTGCTCTCTTAAAGTCACCAATTTAAGTCTTCCTTCAAACTCTACAACTTTTATCTATCATTTTTCTGTCAATTGCTTCGTTTTCAAGATATTTCGTTATTTCTATATTTTTGATAAACCTTGTATATTAACTTGTTATATAAATCTTACTCAAATGTGTCTTTCACCGCCGTGCACTATAAAAATGTGGACAGATTGCACGATAATACATAACATCGTAAAAAATAAATAACGTCTATCAAGGAAACGTACGATATAAAGCAATCGTGCTGTTTACTGACGTAAACGGATAAATACCTTATTAACAAATATATTACCGATCAACGTATCAACACTTACAATAACAGTGAATTTCCTCATTGAATCGAACAAACTTTTGAAGTTCCAAGAGAATCATCCATTGCAGCCGCACGCCTCCTGATGCCTTCTAAGTATATCTCACGGTTGAAGAGTCCAGCACCAAGCGGAATTCTAAAAATAGGTAACGATGCGCATATATATATATATATATACACATTCATATTGTTACTGATACGTGTATTATTAATTTATATTAAAAAAAAACTGTTACTTCGAATTTCAATAAATGTCAATAGACACATACGTATCGATACCCGGCCTCAGTATAGTCTTAAAAACTCCCCAAACTGGCTTGTGATCTGAAGTGCAAATACTGGGAACGGAATCGTATATTAAACAATCTATAACACCGTCTTTATATGAATTAGCACTGTCATGACTGACGCGTCTAATGTATCCCCTGGTGTGGCCCTTTCCTTTAAAAAGGATTCTATCGGTGTATGCGGGAGTGCGTTGTTTGCTGCTGGAATCAAAATTCTGTGTGCCCGGATCATACTTATAAGTGGGGGGAAAAGTGATCGGAGCTTCTTCGAATCCACGTAGTACCGCGCCTTCATTCAAGATAACTCTCAATTGATCTTTATGCAAGTTTATCGGCGACTCTTGCGGAAAGCACGTGTTCGTGATCCATTGGATTACCTCTTCTCTAGGCTGAGCCAGACGAAAATTTAAATCGCCGCACCAAAATACGCAATCGAAATTTTGCGTCACATCTGAAATATAAGATGCGCACAATGTATAGAAGGTAAAAGATTAATCTATAAATTTATACCTTTGCTTTTGTGTTTAGTAGGTAGCTCCTTGGGAAGGTCGAGATTCCTAACAATTCTCTTTATATCGTTGACACGTTCTTTCACTTTATCTTGGTGTGCAGTCAAGTGAGCAGTGACGAAGAGAAAACTTGTGCCAAATATCATGAGAGCTATGGCCACAGCGCCCTTTGTTCTAAATGCTGTCCCAGTTCTCGTAGAGAAATTATCCTCTTCCGCAACGGAGCAGAACCAGATCAGATCTCGTCTCAAAAACAATGCAAGATGAAGTGTACCGAGATTACTGCTAGTGAGCAGTACGTGCGAAGGGCCGAGAGTCTCCTGCAGAGCCGCTTCCCATTCATTTCGCTCAGAACATGATTCTTGTGTGCCTATAGCCAACAAATCGGGTATGGTCTCTATATCGGATGGTAACATAAAATCATTTAATTCCTTCGGCGGAGTCTGCCCATTCATGTTCCATGTGCCAATAAAAATCTTCAATTCTCGATTCGGCAACACTTTCTCGAGTTCTACTGGTCCGAGTAAGGAATTGGCAGCAATTCTTCCGTGAAGAAAATTTCTGTGAAATTGAATCGACGAGAAATAATGCCAAATATTATCTTTCGAAAAAAAGATTACATACCTTTCCCGTGCTTTTTGTGTAGGTATTAAATTAAGTACGTGTGCAGCAAGTAACGATTGTTTTGCTAAACTATCCATAGACGCTCCTGTTGCCTGACAAAAGTAACGATCTTTCTTTCTAGATAGAGCATCGTGTGACGTCGAACGTGGCTTATGCTGTATCGGTGCACTTTTAATAGATTCTGGACTGGAATGCCTCATGGAATTTGTCGGTGAGTTCACGATTAAATTATCCGCAGATCTTCTATGTAACAATTTACGACGCAATTGTCTCGGTATACTCGGGGACTGTGATCCGGAGGAAAAACTTCCATCTGAAACAATTTATTTATTAATCACGTACAAGATCCTCCTTTAAAGAATTCTTGCGTGTCCCAATAGCGCTAAAAAAAGAAAAAAAAACGTACCATTCGCATCATCTTAAAAGCATAAAACACAATTATTGCTTGAGAAAATAATATACTTTGTGCCTAGAGATTAGATTCGTAATGATCTTATAGCAATGAAATCTGTAATGAAACCAAATTGGTTCAATTACCTACTGCAGTTTAAGCATTAACGCATGATTTCACGACATTATTGGAATCTTTTGTATTACGACACATAAATTTGCCAATACTTAATCGTTTGTTACGAGTTATGAGTGCTTTGAAATTTTCCCATACGATTGCATCGTTTAAATAAATAGTTATACGTATTTAGAACTAGAACAGTCAATCATCTTATGAAACACTATCAACAGGATAATAGCAAATGCTACTTAAATTAAAATCAAATAACTTGTCATTCTAGTTTCAAAAAATAGATGTACATGTTGCAAGATCCTAATTGCAAGATCCTCAAATTCAACTGTTTAGAAAAAGTTGTCTTTTTGTAAAACGATTTACACACTTCCTACAGCATACATAGAATCATCTATTGAATATATATCCGGATTTTATTGTTCTAGCTTAATAGATTAGAAGTTGAACATGTAAAATATATACAATTATAGCTGCACATAGACAACATTAAAGTATTAAGTATATTGCTTAATCCTTTGCACTCGAGGGCTCCGGAGCGGAGCCACTTAAAATTTGTCTTCAAACTCGAGGGCTCCGCTATGGAGACAATGCAAATAGCAAGAGCGGAACATCCTATACACAATAATTTTTACGATTTGTCTTTATCCTTATGTTATGAACTGAAAGTTATTTGCATTGTCTCCAGCCCTCGAGTTTGAAGACAAATTTTAAATGGCTCCGCTCCGGAGCCCTCAAGTGCAAAGGGTTAATATTTACGTCTCTAATCTAACTAGGTATAAAATCATTGTTTTACTTTTTTTTTTGATAAAATTAATATACACAAACGTACATGTATTGTCCACATTTAATGTATTATTAATTTATATAATAATGTTGATGTTTGCTGAGAAAAATTTAATATTCCATGATAATAAAATATATAATGCTCTAGCAAAAACATAACAATTAAATTTTAAGCAGCATACAAGTTTCAAATATTACACTTTATACCTTCTTTCTCTGGCTTTTCACAATCAGTATCACGATACTGAATCATTCTGTAAACTTCTGAAGGATTGTATAACTGCCGTTCCATTTCCAGGAAGAAATAAGTGATATACTTTCCCTTTGTAAAGTATTCATCCTTTAAATATTTTTGAGTTTTTTCAGACTCAATCAGATGTTCATTTTCATCTTCTGAAGATTCTTCGAACGAGTTTTCCGTTGAGTCTGCAGAGAAGTCACTATCTTCACTACTCTCTTGAAAAATTACTTTCGTTTCTTTTACTACAAGTGCGCATTTTATATTATTGGTGACGTTGATATTATTATTAGAACAAAGTTGTAACATTGTACTTTTCGAATCAGAACTGCGATCTTCCATTTCGTTATTATCATTTTTCAAATACGACTGAGAAGTTACGCATAAATCGTTATCCTGTTTTAGAAATGCAATTTTTGTATTCATATATCTGTCTGCTCCTAATTTACGTTCCTCTCGCTCATTTTCCATAACATTATACTTTTCATGTTTTATTCTCTTCTCATCTTCCATATCAAAACTCTTATCACTCTTTGTAGTAACAATAATAGTACAATTTTGTTGCACACAAATATCTTTATCACTATATTCTTCTATTTCAAATGATTTGTCTTTTGCTCCTGTTATATAAGATTCATTTTTGCTAACAGCTATAATTTTGTTATCGGAGTTATCAGGTATACTTCCCAAATTATCAGATTGCTTATTATCAAGTGTTTCCGCTTGCGGTCTGTACAACTCCGATTGTTGTCCTAATTCATCGTGTTTTCTCTTAAATATGCGTGATACTTTGTTAAGAAAGAAACTTTTTCTTCTCTTCTTATTCATATTTAACATTACTAACGGACTTCCCGCTGACTCTCGATAACGAATAAGAACACTCGCACGTATGTCGAAAATAATATATGATAACTGACTGTTACTAGAACTACGTCTACAATCGTCACAACTTTATATCAATATGACTGGAAGTGTTACGTCTGCTATACGGGTTTAGAATGTAAGATGGAGGGGATATACAAGGTCATCTGATCATCATTCAACCACATCATGATACTACGTACATAAAGAGAAAAATTGCGAAGGAGTGCCTAGTCACAATTAGATATGAGGCAATTGAAGCTTTTCAGTGTCATTGAAGAATATTTCCTTCTTTTAGAGACAAAATATTCTCAGACTGAAATACCAAGAACTACTATAAGCATTTAATATTTTGTCGTCCAGTTAATATTAACAATTTAGATGTGTATTATTTGTCAAAACAGAGCATTTTTCATGTACTCAAATTCCATACATCTCCCAAATTCATTAGTAAAATCTGACATTAAGATTATGTAAATGTAATTTGCAAGCTTACCTTCTATATAAGTACTATGACACTGCTCCTTTGCTGTACTATTCTTTTTGATTATAGTCTCTTGTGTCACCTGAGTGTTACTTTCAACATGTATCTCCTCTTTCTTGACCAGTATATTTGTTCGACAATCTTCATTCACAGAAGCTACTTCAGATTTGACCGAAGTACGACTTAAGGTTGTTGGAGAAAGTCTACTAACAGTTAAGCTCTGAGGTGGTGTTCTACTACGTTCAGTCATTGCGCAACACAAAGACAATTTAGTACTGGTTTGAGATCCGTGTTGTGAGCTGTCTATCTTAGAATTCTTATTTGAATCCTCATCCTTATAAGATAGCTCTAAGCAACCAACTTTGGTCTTCTTGTTCATCAGCATGCGGCAAAGAGATTTCTTCTTCTGCTTTGATTTTGGAGAAACATCTATCTTGGCAATATTTGAAATAGTAGAAATTTCATTTCCTTCATTCTGCTCCATAATATTTGCAGCTGTATCATTTAATGATTTTATAGAAATTGATAATCTATGTAACTTGTCTTTAATTATATAAACATTATAGAACCATTATAAAACTTTGTCCTATACTTGAATGTTCAGCAATTTCTTCAATGACTAAGAAAGATGCAGTTAATGTATTCCTTCTTGTCTGTAATTATATAGAATAGTGTTTAATATTTCTTAGGTCATCGCTGTTAGTTAGTTGACAAAGACATCACTTGCAATATTTTCTGCATTTCACTATATATATTAAAAATTGTTTTCAAGTTTTGCAGAATAAATCATAATTCAACACATCTTATAGATATTTACAATTATAATGCTTCAATATTGGTTGTATTATTGATCAACCATCTGCCATAGTTATATATATATATATATACACATATATATATGTATATATAATCCTCATGCTTAATCATGCGAGTAGAATCTCATGATGTATCAAACAATCGTATTTATATTAATGAATATTTTTGGGTTTTAGAGACTAGAACCTGTATCATAGTATACAATACTTCAAATCGGCGTATCTACTCGATTTGTGTATAACTGCATTTCTTCGTTTTTTTCGTAAAAGCTCGATATACCGACGGTCACGAATTTAATCGCACTACCGTTGATGAACCGATCATTCACTCCTCAAAATTCATAATAAATCAGCTTCGATTCGGTTGAACGCATACTTGAACGTTTGTTACAAGAACTCTGACTTCAGCCTCCATTTTCAGCAGTTGCAGCGGCAATATCGCTACTGGACTCAACCCGCATTACTTACGAAGTGTAATGGCCTTTCATTTTTCTCAATAATCTTTTGCTGCCAAGATAAGTTGGATGCCAGAATTAAGGCCTTTGCACGTAAAAATGTCGTAACCGTGCCGTGGTCATAGGTAAGATCTCATGTCTATTCTCAGTGGCAATAGGTCTGTTCGTTTTCGCTGTACCACTGAACTAGTGCAATATAAGTTGAAACGAGACAAATATATGTTTTCTCACTTCAATTTATCGCATTAGTTCAGCGGTGCAGCGAAAACGAACAAACCTAATGTCATTACGTGGGACATGGAACTCTATTTTTAGTCTTTTTGATTGGTCAACGATATGAAACTACTTCCTTATTGGTTGATCGTAAGGTGTTAATCGTAAAATTCCTGACGGGACTTTTGCGCGACTATAGTTATGGCTTCGGTCCACAGGACGCAGTACGTTTTCCGCGTGGTGAAAGTTAAATCAACATGTCGTTTTTTGGCAAGAACTTTATTGGCAAGAAGTTTATTGGCTACCGCGAACTTCCGTCGCGTGGCAAGTATTGCCACGATCTGTGGGCGGAAGTCATTACGGTTTTATGGAATTTCATTTGCGTTGATCCATTTGATTGTATGTGTATAAATTACTGAAATTACGGTTACAATTAACGCATTATTAATACATTTTTACGATTCCGATCCATCGTCATTCAAAACAATAGTCGTAAAGTACACAGTAAAGAAGAATTCATACCTTGAGGAAAAAGCAAAAAAACAGCAACCAATCAGAACTCCCACTGGTAGTCGACAGTCTCTGTTTTATCTACTTATCTATTTCATCTAGTTCACTATCAGCGCTTGTTCTGATTGGCTGCTGTTTTTCTGCTTTTCTATCAAAGTGTGAATTCTCCCTAAGACATAAGCAATAAGCTAATTGAGCAACAACAGTCGATTTATTTTTGAAATGTATAAATCCAATTGGTCAATTAGCTTACTGCTTACGTTTTACTTTGCGGCTATCTATAGCCGGTCCTTTCCCATTTTCTACTCCCTACTAGCTTACTGCTAGCCAATACCCTACTCTGGGAGCATCCCGATTTTGCAATTGACCATCACCAACCACACCAGCCGTGATTTGGTATTTTTCCAATTCAACTAATTGTCTATATAGCCCATGGTCACTAGACGCTTAATCAATCAGAGCCCAGCGTTTAGTGAGTGGTGTAGCTCCTGGACTCATCAAATAGCGATACCATACAATTTTTCCTAGACCGATATTCATAGTCAGATCTTACATTTAACAGTTCCCAATGCACCCTCCAGGTGGCACAATATTTTTGACTTAACAATCGAAATAACCATAGAGATATAAGAATAGAGGGAACAAGGGATATATGCATAGAGATATAAGAATAGAGGGAACAAGCCTGTAAGTGGAAGTGATAGAGGCAAAGAGAGAGATGGATGCCGAGTGTCCTATCTGTCTCTTTCTAGTTGAGCGCTGTGATTGGTTGTTACAATGAGCCGCCAAGACGACCACGCGACGTCAGGAAGGGAGAAAGCAGACTAAAATTTCGTTTTGTAAATATGCGTGCACATGTGTGTAGAATTAAAATTCGTTAAATATTCGAACGTTAACAAAATAATAATTGGACGCGATTTGTTTAAAAATGAGGCATTGTTTGAAATGCAAGGCGGAGTCTTATCCTGAATGTAACCGCAGTTTTCACTCGTAAGAAAGTACAAATACGTAACCTCAAATAATTAT